TATTTTCTCCAAGTTGCCAAGATTGCCCTGCAAGGCAGATAGCAAAAGCGCATGAGAAAGCCTGAGCCATGCATAGCCCACCCCAGCCTTGGTCCTGCTGGAATCGTGGCAGGGTCCCCTGGGACCAGGAGTGCATGGAAAAGGGCGAGGACCCCAGGCAGGTTTGGGCTCTGCAGAGGAAGCACAGGGGAGCTGAGGCTGAGGGACGTAAATCCAAATGGCAGTTGATGCCAGACAGGGAAACTGAGGCCTCGGAGAGGAGGGAGCACTGGCCACAGAGGTGCTTCCTGGCCTTGGGGCCCCACCTTCTCTCTCCTCCCTTGGACGCCACCTGAAGGAGAGACTGAGTCCAGCTCAGTCAAGGGCCGCTGCAGCTTTGCAGCCAGGCAGCTCCACGGCTTCAGGATTTGGAAAAGAGGGACTTGGGGTGGTTGTGGAGGGTCCTTCACCCCTAGGCAGGATGGACTTGGAGCCTCCAGCACCCAGGGCCAGGTGTGAGGATCTCCCTCATAACAGCAGGTTTGCCGAGTGCCAGGACCTGAGGGTTCAACACAGGGGCCTTCCCTTCCAAGCCCCAGGATCCTGTTCCCAAAGCTGCTGCCCGAGGGTCACTCACATCCGGGTCATCCTTCATCGCTGTGTCCAGCATCACCAGGTCAGTGAGGAACGTGCCCAGGAAGGGGATGGACCCTGTGCCATCGGGTGGAGAGGACGAGCACCCAGCCCCGCTCCCACTTAGAGCGTGGAAGTCCCCCTGAACCTGCTCACACCCGTCTCCTGCCCCTCTGGGACTCCGAACTAAGTCCTTCCGATTCTCTCCCTCCCATCTTCCTGCCGGGCTTCCTGTGACACGGAACACCCCGAGTTACCTCCCTGGTGCTGATTTTCTTATTTCATACCGAGGACTGGAACTAGCGCCTTTGCACCGTGCTACATCCCCCGCCTTTTTTATTGTTCACCCAGGGACAGGGACCTGCTGAGGCATTAAGTTGCCTAAGCTGGGTGCGAACTTGTGAGATCCTTGTGCCTCTGCCTCCCAGAGTGCTGTGGTTGCAGGCACGTGCCACCCTTCCTGGCTTCCATGGGGATGACTGGTGTGGGTCACATGATGCTGTGCCCGTCTCCAGCTCTAGCCCGTATGTGCTGTGTGCAGCCCTCCTGGAGTCTTGCTCTGGCCTCTCTGATGGAGGCATCTCCAGCACAGCAGGGAAAGGCTGGAGGAGGAAGGAGCCCTGCTCTCTGGGTGTGGAATGTCCTGGAAGGAAGGGAGGCTCTCCTGTCCTCTGACTCCTGGGACCTTCCCTACCCCTGGACACTCACCTTCTTCTTCTGCTGCTGCTGCCTCATCTGGGCTCTCTGGGGGTCGTTCTCCAGGGTGGCCTTGGAGAGCCCCTCCTGCCAGGTTAGGCAGGGATGTGGAGACTTTTCTGCCCTTATAAAACTGTCTCCCTGAGCTGAGACCCCGCACAGCTGGCTCCTGTCAGCTGGTGCAGCTCTGTTACTACTTGACTATGCTTGGCCATTCACTCCCCACTCCCACGCTGCCTTGGTTTGTCACCCTGGGTGTGTGGCCTGGAAACCCTGAGCACGCTTCCCCGTCTCAACATGCACCTGCCCCACAGCACCTCCTGAGGGCTCCATGTTCCATAGTTATTGCTGAAATCCTCACCACTCTGAGGAGCGTCCAGGAGGAAGCACCTCAACTTTCTCCTTGCCACACTGTGCTGCCTGCACAAAGACTCTCCCAGAGCAGTATAAGGGAAGCTAGCTCCTCTCACCCGCCCACTGGAAGTACAAGCTCAGCTCCTTTCACCCCACGTCCCAGCACCAGCCCTGCCCACTGTCCCCTCCTCTGAGCTCCTGATGAGTGTCTGGAGACCCTGCCATGCCCATGCACAATGGAATAGAGCAGCGGGTCTCAGACAGCGTGTTTGAGAAGCTCCTGCCTGTCCCAGACCCCTGCAGTCTCTGCCCCACAGCTAGATGGGAGGCCACGCCCAACCTCACCTCCTCCTATGAATCCCCCAAGGGAGTTCTTTTGGCAGAGCCTCTGCTCAGCCACGGAGAATGTGACCTCCCAGGTTGTCAACTCTGAGTGACGAGGACATATTTCCTTGGGAAATGGGCTCTGAGATCGGATCAGTTAGGATCTACTATTGAATACATGCATCCTCAAGATAGTTCTAACATCCGTCAGGAGACAGTATTGCTGCCAACTGGACACTGAAGTAGGAATCTGAAGACCATCAATGTGAGCAAAGGAGCAGAGGGGAGTGACAGCACACCCACGAATCAGTCCCAAGTGTACCCACTGGCACAGGAGCTGAGCTTCCCCTTGACCACCTGTCCCAGTGGGATTTCTCCGCTATAGTCAGGTGTCCCCTTCTGTCAGAGGTTTAGTGAAGATGGAAGAGGAACAGGTTCCGATTTCCAAAAATATTGTGGGCCAAGTTGCTGGAGTAAGGAAGCCTTACCACCTCCAGCCAACTGCATGGGGAAAGCCACTTTCCAGCAGGAGGGACCAGCATGGCAGCCAGAGACCTGCTGATTCTGCGAGCTCATCCACCCTCCCCGGAGAGACCAGCAACATCCCTTAAGCCTCATGTGCCCCCAGGCCTTCAGTTTAAAAAAAGACAGATACAGCCAGTCCTCTGATTCCAGAAGATACAACTGGAATTTCTCAAGCTTCAAATGAGAAAAACAATCCCATCTGGCACAGAACCTTTTCCAATTTCACCCC